TGTACCATAAATCAGGCCAAAAGAAACACAGCTCTGGTGACAAATTGTTTATAAAAGTTTATACAAAAAGGACAAATGACACCCTGTGTGATGCAATTTGCCATTTTTCCTGTAAATCACACAATCCACTGCGTTACCTTCTTCTTAATAGCTAATGATAAACTCCTGTACTGCCAATGCGGAGAAAAACAGCACTGATCAAAGTATAGATATCAGCTTTAAGTGTTTATTTGGAGCCAAGACCTGCCAAGAACAACTTGGCAGATATTTGCTGGTTCAGGTACTGAGGGCTAATACAAAAACACAACCATAAAATAACAGACACACCTCTGTGCAGAAACATGCCCTTCTGTGGAACTGAGCAGACCCTATTTTGTTAGACCTTCATCCTTCTTGCCCGCTACAAACTCAAATTCAATATCAAAACAAGAGATCTACAAAAAAATGCTAAGAATATAAAATGATCTCACAAAAAAGTCTTTAATTTATCTCAGAACAATGCTCCAGCAGTCCAATGGTAATAAAGAAACATAAAGATGAAAACAACCCTCGATTAAAAGCAAAGACACGTGTGACGAGTAACTAGACAATTAAAACGTTACTAGGCCTTAAACTAATTATTGGTTGTTGTTTTTTTGTAATGTACACCACAAGTTAACAGTTGTTTCTCTGTTGTTTTATGTTACAATGAAACATGCAACTACAGCAACCCCTGCCTTCTTTCTGTGACAGGAAGTTTTTACCCTTTAAAGCCGGTCGGAGCGGGCACGCTCCGTTTTGCGTAACTATTTTTAAACCCCGGTAGCACTGCAACCACGTAAGCTAGCGCAATATTTTTTTTTGCATATGAAACCCGACAAGTTGTACTTACGTCTCATGCCATCAGCTTGTGCTAGGTCACGGTTTCCTTCCACATATAGCTTTGCAAAAATTGCATAAAAAGCACTTGCAGCAAGAAAAACACAATATTCCAGAAACACACTTTGCTGATCCGATCAGCTGTTCGTAACTCTTCCTACGTTGGAATAGACGCCAGCGTGAACTATCGCATGTCCGCCATTACCTGCCCGAAACCGGAAGTGACGTCATGACACGGAAATGTAGTTTTTTACCTTCAGGGCCTATACAAGCATATACTGGTGTTTTTAAA